AATAAAATCTTTAAAATCATACATAATCTTCAAAAATCAAATATATTATTTATATATTTTTTTATTTCATAGAAATAAATAAAAATATTTTTTTTATAATAATAGCAATTTAGATATTTTATTAAAAAAGATATTTAGGTATATATTAAAAAAATTTTCTATTATTGCAACTGATGTTAAATATTATTCAGTAAATAGTACGATTATACTAGGATAATATTAAATAATGTCTATCATATCTTTATAATATAAAATTATTCATATATTTATATAGAATAAAAGATATATTATATTATTATATTATATTTTATGGAATCTTTTTTAATAAACATTCAAAAATAACTGTTTCCATAAATTTATTATATAGATTTTAAAATATCTTTTCCATAACACTAGTAAAAAAAATGTAATTGCTAATTAAGTGTAATTGCTAATTACACTTCTTTTCAAAAATTTCATAGAATTTGACATTTTCAGAGAATTGATAAGATTGTCTTAAACAGTATATATAAATTCTAATTTTTAAAAAATATTTTCAAAATATTAACTATAATAATATTTTATTATAAAAACTATTTGTTTCGATCCCTGTTATAACGTTAATTTTCGCTACAAAATATAATTATAAATTTATTGTCCAAACGTCATTTTTTTTGTAGCGAAACAGTAAAATAGATTACTTCTCGATAACAAATATGTTATTATTTGTAACAAAAGTGAAGTATATTCTTTTTTTCTTAAGTATTATTTTTAAATAAAAAGTATATTACTTTTTACATATCAAAACGTTAATATCTGCATTACATATATCATTGATTTTTCGCTTCATATATATATATATATATATATATATATATATGCATGTATCATGGCTATAGTAATAATCATCCTATCACTAGATCACGCATAGTTTCATGTTCGCATTCATTTGATTTGTTATAATTGATATCCTTTGTATGCTCGACTAAAGCAGTTTCGTTCACGATGTGTTGCAAGTTAATTATATATATTAGAAAACGAATTTGAAATATTTCTTATATTTTGAAGTAAGAATCATTACGAATTTTATTTATCGATTTCTATGAAACGAAAGATTTTCGAATGATAAAAGATTTTCTTAGATTTGATCGCGAGCATGCGTATTAATTGTATATTTTACACTAGAAATTATATGAGCGCATGCGTATAATAATGAATAAGGCCAAAGGTACACAAGCGTTTTATACGTGTTATATGTTTCCTTTGTCAAAGTAGGATTTTAATTGAATGAAACGAAACAGAAATGATTTCCGTGAAACGATTGAAATGAAAGATTTTCGAACGACAAAGGATTTTCTTATGTTTAATTGCAAACATGCGCATCAATTACATATTAGAAATTATGTGTGCGCATGCGCATAATGATGAATAAAACCAGAAATATACAGCGTTTACACGCCGCGTGTTACATGTCACGTTTCCTCTAAAGTAAGATTTTAACTGAATAAGCATTTTATGAGTGTTTTATGAATGTTTTATACATTGCATTTTCTATATCAATTACATTTTTATTTCTCACCGCTGTGTAGTCAAATTAATAGTAAATACTGTATCGCATTGCTATCGGGTTTTATTTTCCGCATGTGACACGCAACAGGCGGCGTTTTCAAGTATGTCAGAGTGTGTCAAAGTATGTTCTTCGCATGTATAGTCAGTTATATTAAAATCTAATCTTTCTACTTCAACAGAGAAAACATGACATGTAACATGGAGCGAAAACATGTTTTTATATATTTACAAATTTTTATATATTTGCAATTAAACGATTTATTATTATTTATTTTTAATAAATTTATTTTTA